CCACCATCTTTGTTGTGGCGCCGCGCAAAGCACTCCGGGACGGGCGCGGCTCCGGGGCTACACATACCTGGTCCGAGCCGCCGCTCCCGTTCCACAGACTGAGAGCCCCTACTGCACCGAACGCCAAAGAACCACCGAGCACGGGCACCGACGTGAAGCTAAGAGCGTCCGGCAACGTGGCCCCTAGGCGCAAAGCCTGCTGGAAGTCGTAGTGTAGCCCCGCCGGCAGAGGGGCCGCCCCAAGGGCATGCTGGGAGTTGTAGTTTCTCGCAGCAGTCACCGCGAGGGGTGGAGGGGAACAGGTTGCCATGGAGACCCTGCGGCCTGCGCTGTCTCGGCGGCCAGAGCCTGGAGCGGGGCCGCTCCTGCTGCTGTGCTGTGATAGGGCTGCTACAGATGGGACCAACCCAGCTACACCAAAACCTACCCAACCATCACCAGCCCTGCTGGAAAACAAAGCCAGGGGTATAGATCAATCACAGAATTACAGAGTGGTTTGGGTTGGAAGGGGCCTTAAAGATATTCCTCTTTGTCCTGTCCCTACAGGTCCTTGTCCAAAGCCCCTCTCCAGGTCTCCCCCTTAAGGAGCCTTCTCCAGGCTGAAGCAGCCCAGCTCTCTCAGCCTGGCTCCAGAGCAGAGCTGCTCCACCCCTTGCAGCATCTCTGGGGCCTCCTCCAGACTCACTTCAACAGCTCCATGTTTTCCCTGTGCTCATGGTGCCTCAACAGGTTTAATGCTCCTGGCACCCAGCAGCCCTTGTGCTCATGAAGAGGAAGGTGTTTGTTACCTGTCAGGGTTTGTGTTGTTCCCAAGGGGTGCTCTGGACAGGCACAGGCTGTGGTGTTTGAGGGTTCTGTTTGCATTATCAGTAGGTTCAGTCACCAGAGTCTTCATTAAACTGACCCCTGTTTGACTTCCTTGATACACATCTGAGGTGGTTAATAAACACACCCATACACAAAGAACACATCTGAAGCTGCACTGTATACATCTGGGATTCGATGGCTCAGTGAAATAACAACAGAGAAAAACATCTTTATTCTTCTTTTGTCTTCCTAATGTAGCTTCCCAAGCCAGGCAATAAAGAGTTGGGTGTTATGGTTGGGAGGCCTTTTATGGTGCCTAGAATGGAGCTGCCAGGCAGGGCATAATGGTAGCAAACCAGCCTCTCCGGTGTTCTTTGGCTGCAGGTAGATCCAGCTCCATGGGTTCTTTGTGGCCATTGGGTGTATCCACCTCCATGTGTCCTCCGGCTGCCAGTGGATGCAGCTCCATGTGCTCTTTTCCTCTGGGAGGTGGATCCACCTCAATGGCTTCTCCTCGGTATTGTGGAGAATAGCCACCATGGGCCCTCCTTGGCGTTAACTTTGGTCTTTCGTTTCCTCTTCGTGGTGGGGAAATCGATTTCCATGGGCTCTACCTCATCCTTTGGTGGATCCACCTTGATGGCTTCTCCTGGGTGTTGCGGAGAGCAGCCACCATGGGCCCTTCTTGGTGTTACATTGGGTCTTTCATTTCTTCCTGATGGTGGGGGAATCGACTTCCATGGGCTCTTCCTCATCTTTCGGTGGATCCACCTCGATGGCTTCTCCTCGGTGTTGTGGAGAATAGCCAGCATGGGCCTTTCTTGACGTTACCTTGGGTCTTTTGTTTCTTCCTGATGGTGATGGAATCAATCAATCTCCGTGGGCTCTTCCTGATATTTAGATGGATCCACATCCACCAGCTGCTCCAGCTCTTCAGGCTGGTCTACTTCCATTGGCACTGCCTCCCGTCTCCAACCTCTTCCTCTTCGTGCCTGGCTTGGGCACCAAAAACACTGCCCCATGAGACATTGCAGGGCAGCTCCCTGTTCGCTGGCACCAGACCTCTTGCTGCTCATCGTTGCTGGGCCTGGGACCTCAGCACCTGCCTGATGTTTGCTGGGTCCCTGTATTCCTAGGGCACAGGGCAGAAGGTGCTGTGTAACTACCCCAGCCTGCTGTCATGGTGATGGACAGAGGCCTGCAGTGTGGAGGGGTTGTGTGTGGCCTGACAGATGCCCTGATGTAGGGGCAGGAGCAGGAGGATGCTGTGGGGAGAAGGGCCCCTCTGTGGGACTCGCTCCCTGGTGCCATTCTGCTGCCCCTTAGGCACAGGCACTGCCTGTCCCTGCCCTGTGTCCCCTGGGCCCCTCGGGCTGTGCCTGCAGGTCCCTCAGGAGAGGGAGGGAGGGGGGAAACTATTCCGGAAGTGTTAGGGCTCCTCTGTGGCAACTTCCCCCTCAAGCATTGACTATTGCCAAGCGCTGTGTGGGACCCTGGGGCGTGGAGAGGGGCACCTCCCATGGCAGTGAGGGGCTGTGGCAGCAGAGCCGCCATGCGGCACAGGGCTGCAGCAGGATGGAGCGTTTGCACTCTCATCCTTCTACAAGGAGGAAGTGAGAGTTGGTGATCACACAGTATCACAGTATCACAGTATGCTAGAGATTGGAAGGGACCTCGAAAGATCATCTAGTCCAGTCCCCCTGCCGGAGCAGGAACACCTAGATAATGTTACACAGGAATGTGTCCAGGCGGGTTTTGAATGTCTCCAGGGAAGGAGACTCCACAACCTCCCTGGGCAGCCTGTTCCAGTGTTCCATCACCCTCACCGAGAAGAAGTTTCTTCTCAAGTTTAAGTGGAACCTCTTGTGTTCCAGTTTGTACCCATTACCCCTTGTCCTATCATTGTTTGCCACTGAGTAGAGCCTGGCTCCATCCTCATGACACTCCCCCTTTATATATTTATAGACACTTATAAGGTCACCCCTCAGTCTCCTCCAAACTATAGAGACCCAGCTCCCTCAGTCTTTCCTCAAAAGGGAGATGCTCCACTCCCTTAATCATCTTTGTTGCCCTGCGCTGGACTCTCTCCAGCAGCTCCCTGTCCTTCTTGAACTGATGTGTGACCTTAGATGAAGACTGGGGCATTTACAACAGCGCAGATGTGAGCATGTCTTCCCCTTCTTCCTGAGATGAAGGTGGAATATTTTCTTGTCTGCACATGAGCTCCCTGGTACTTTCTGTTCACTTTTCAGGGTTTCTTGGGCACCCTCACAGGGAAGAGCTTCTGCCTAAGAGCTCATCTCAGTCTCCCCTCTGGCAGGTTAAAGCCATTCCCTTTGTCCTGTCCCTACACGCCCTTGTCCAAAGCCCCTCTCCAGGTTTCCTGCAGCCCCTTTAGGCACTGGAGTTGCTCTGAAGTCTCCCCTTAAGGAGCCTTCTCTTCTCCAGGCTGAACCAGTCCAGCTCTCTCAGCCTGGCCCCAGAATAGAGCTGCTCCAGCCCTCGCAGCATCTCCATGGCCTCCTCTGGCCTTGCTCCAACAGCTCCACGTCTCTCTTGTGCTGTTGCCCCAGAGCTGGATCAGGGCTGCAGCAGGGGTTCTCCCCTTCATACAACAGAGGGGCAGGATCCCCTCCCTGAGCTGCTGCTCATGGTCTGGGGGTGCAGCCCAGCACATGGCGGGGTTCTGGGCCCACGTGCACACTGAAGCTGGCTCATGGGGAGCTTCTCCACCCAACAACCCAGGAGACTAGAACTGGATGATCTTTAATGTCCCTTCCAACCCAGACCCTTTTATGAGACTATGATTCCCTGATCATGCCAGCAGGGACACACAGCCACAGGCAGCAGTTGTGCTGGCAGAGCATCCCTCGATCCTGCTGCAGCCTTCCAGCGCAGCCCCACTCCATTGGGGCTGCTCATTTGTTCCGTGGCATCACCCAGCTCTGCGGCTTCTTATCCAACTTCAAAGTTCCTCCTGTCCTCTTGCACTGGTTACCTGTAACTGTTATCTCGCGCTCCCTTGAAACCAGCACAGTTTAACTCATCAAGAAGCCCTTGCCAGATAACCAAGCCAACTCAGGGAGCCGCTGGCAATCCCTCAAACACTCAGAAACACCTCTAAGGTACTGATTAACTTCACCCAACCTGGGCTTGCCTTTGCACTCGCCTATCATAAGTGCAGTGCAAGGTTTGGATGGCAAATGTACCCTGCTGGAGAAGGGAAGGGAGGGCAGGATGTGTCCCTGACAGCTCTCTGCTTACCCCTTTGCAGCAAATGGGAAGTGGCGATTACAAAATATATAGATTAACTTTTTTTGTGGAAAAGATTGGTTGCTAACTGCTCATTTTCCCAATGTTCATTTGAAAATGCATTTTCTATAAACTTGGAAAGAACACGATTTAGTTATTTGTCATTTTTTCCGTACAGTTTATAATAGCATCAAAGATTCTGAGGGCATTTGTTTCATTTTTACCTCAGAGCTTCTCCCCCTACTCTGAAGCTCATACATTGGGTTTTCTGGAAAGTTATCCTGACAGAAATCTGCTCTCTGATACTTTTCCTGTAGTTTCTCTACTGAGAAGCTGATGGCTCTCATGAACCCACACTTGTGCTGAAGCTGCTCCTCGGCTAAGTCAGATCCAACAGCTGGGCTCACTCCCAAGTCTCTATTGAAGAGTTCAAGCCGTAGTGGGAGTAGTAGTCATTAAGACACAGTTAGTACATGTCTTATATCTGGCCTCTACTTGGTGTATTGGCAATTGATGAGATTTCAGCTGCCTGCGAGCCATCTCATAGGCTGTGTCAGAACTGCATTAACGCTCTGAGTCCTCATTCATTGTCCCTTCTTTGTGTCCTTGTAGACTCTGGAGATTCCCGCTAGCTCAAACTTGCTTGATCTAGGAAATATCTTGAGGCTGTTTACATTTGTTACTGTGGTGGTGGAGCTGTTTGCACCCAACCTGCCACCCTTAGACTTGGCCTAGACATAAGACAGGTTGCATCAATGATAAAGAGACCTGTAGGAAATCTTACTAGCGTGCTGAGGAGCTAGTTCTCCCTTGAACATAAAAGCGTCAATGACTCAGCACATTAAAGGGTCACTGCACTTGGCTTCACAAGTAATGAGAAAAGAAAAGAAGATGAACAGCCCATAATCCAAAGCAGTAAATCATTAACTAGCAGACTATGACAAATCAGCCCAACTCAGCATATAAACCCATCGGCTTACTTCAAAAGCATCTTCAAGCTGCAGCCTGAAGGAGGAGACTTTCCCAATCCTTATTCTGACCACAGGAACATGACTTTGAGGCTTTGCTCTGCCTGGATTTTCATCCTCCTCCTTCCTGGCCTCTCAGATGGAGGGAAACTCCTGGTATTGCCCATGGATGGAAGTCACTGGCTTAGCATGCAGCCACTGGTTGAAAAGCTCAGCGAGAGAGGACATGAAGTGGTGGTGCTTATACCAGAAGTAAGCTGGCGTATGAGAGTGGCACAGACCTACACAGTGAAAGCATTCCCGGTGTCTTACACACTAGAAGACTTGGATAATGGCTTCTCTGAGTATGTTGCCACTCACCTGAAGGACCTGCCTTTCCCACTGAACACCCTAGCAATATACAACAGCTCAGTACTTATTTTCCAACTACTATTTACTCAATGCAAGAACCTATTCAGCAACAAGGAGCTCCTTCAGTACGTGAATCAAAGCAGATTTGATGCTCTCCTAACAGACCCCATCTGTATGTGCGGACCACTGCTCGCTCAATATTTTTCTCTTCCATATGTGTTCTTTATGAGAGGATTTCCTTGCAACTTACACTATGATGCTCCGCGGTGCCCAAGTCCTCTGTCCTACATACCCAGGCTATTTACCTTCAACTCCGACCAAATGACTTTCTTTCAGAGAGTGGAAAATGCACTGATTTACCTCCTGGAGCCTGCGTACTGTAACGGTTTCTATGAAATAGCACTAAAGTTTGCTTCTGAAGTTCTTCAGAGAGATGTATCCCTCATAGACTTTGTGGACTCTGCTTCCATTTGGCTTCTGAGATTTGACTTTGTATTTGAGTACGTCAGACCTGTGATGCCCAATATGGTCTTTATTGGAGGCATAAACTGCGCCCAGAGGAAACCACTGCCTAAGGTATGGGTTTTATACCTCCAAATCATACGTTTGCAATGAAATGTGATGATGTCCTTTCTGGAACTTCAGGGGGTTTGATGTATTTTATTTTCTTTCATATTATTTATTTATGTATAATGATTTAAAACAACCAGGATTTTGCAGTTGTTTTCCGCAGTCTGAAATCAAATTACCTTGATGGAGGCAGATAACTTCTGTGAATTAATAGGGATTTTCTGAGAAGTCCAACAAAAAATGGGCTTCATCTAGCATTCATCTACTGTATATTATTCATTAACCAGGTTTTGATTTCATTTTCATGGAGCCTGACTTATATTTCTTTCACCTGACTGTAAACCTAATGACCATGATCTGGGAACTGGATTTTGGTTTTCATTCTAGGCTCAGCAAAGTCAGTTAATTTGCTTTGGTTGTGGTTTTATGGCATATGGTTTCCAAACTGTCTGTCTATGTTGAGTTATGTCTGTTTGTAGATCACACTGAAACATAAATGTCGTGTTGAAATGGGAAAAATTAATCTCAAATAGTGAAAAGGTGAAAGACACTTGCATGCAAAACTCAAAGAAATTTTCATACCTCTTCCTTGACTTTTGCTTTTATCAGAATTGTTCTGCAGGGTTTGTAAAGCTAATAGAGAAATTTAAATCTCTTTTGACAAAATCTCTTTAAATACTTACTTTATAGTCTCTAAACCAATACGTAGCATTCGACATTTCTTTCCAGGGACAAAGCAGAACATACTCCCTTCTGAACAGGCATCACACAGTATCATTGCACAGTTGCAGTACAGTATATTTGAGCTCAAGGGCTTTGTCTACTATCAGATTTCTTTTATACTCTTCAACAGACCTGTGCAGAGCCCACTGCAATCAGTAAAGAGCAAGTCAAATGAAGAATAATATTATAAATTGGAATATTAGAGCAATATTAGAAGGCATTCTCTCACCTTAGGCTCAAAAGTGGCACTTTGTAGTTTGTGATCTAAGAGGCAAATTCTTGCCGGTTACGTGACAGAAATCTCTATGTCCTGAAGGTCTCTGAGCTGCAAACATTTTGTAAGCTTGCTACATGGGCAGAGCATTCCTGTCCTTCTTGTATAGCTGGCATTTCATACTAACACATGTCATTTGGTGGAAATCACATTTTCCAAACCTGGACAAACCTTGTGTGTTCCCCTTATCTTCACCCTGCCCTTTCCTACCTATATTTTCTACAGACAGCAGAGAAATTCCTCCTATTTCACTTGGAACAGTGCCCAGCAACAAGGCAATAACACAGTGCAAACAAATGTGAAGTGAGTCATACGGGAGAACAAAACCAGCTTCTTCCTACACAGTGGCAAGCCTTGGGTTGGTCCTTACTGTTCAGAAATCTAATCCTGTGATAACAGGAGATAGTTCTTCAAAACCTGGTAGCCCATTGTTCAACAGACAACCTCCCTTCCCCCGCCCCCCCCAAAAGACAGCATGGCTGGGAAAGGGAGAGAGAACTGGAGATTCAAAATGAGGTGTCTTTTGTCACATGAGGAGCTTATTCCATGTTAGATACAGCAGAAGGAGGGCTCCTTTATGCTGCATCTGACATGGAATACCTACTGTAGAGCTGAAAGGCAGCAGGGTGCTGAGGAGCTGATGCTTTTGCAGAACTGGGCATACGTGTTTTATCCAGCATAGAGCTGGGAATTCAGTCCCAAGGTGTCTGACCCTATTGAGTCATAAGTATGGTCCATAGCCTGCAGTCTCACAGGGGGTGGGAGAACATGCCACCACATGAGCCAGCGGGAGCTCACTGACTGAGGTAACCACAGCGGGTGGATCAGGCTGTATTTCCTCTTGTATTTCCACTTTGCACAGTAGCAATTACGTATTCATTAACAGACACCGAAATCCAGTTGCCAAGTGTGGCTGGAGGCTTCATACAGGGCATGGAGGATATCAGACAGAATATCTTGGCTGAGCAGAGGTCCTGTGCCAGTGTCATCCTCTAATGACTCCAGAAGTAGCTGAAGGCTGGCATAGAAAGCAGTCCCTCCTTAGGGGAACATTGCAAATGAACTTGGACTATGAGCCCTGAGACACCTTGATGAATATCTCATCCTTATCCAAAGTGAATTCATAGTTGCTTTCTGACAGCTCATAAAACAAAGTCCATGTGATTTGATCAAAGCAAAGTTCGGAAATGTCACCTATAGCAACATTTCAAAGTTGTTCCTGGCTTGTTTGGTTGATTTCTTTAACCTAAAACACCCATTACTTATTTAAACAACTGATAAACTTTAAACCTTAAAACAACCCTGGATTTAAATAAGTAGTTACTCAAGTAAAGGGGAGGTGTCATTGAATAAAACCCTCTAGTTTGTTCGTCCAACACAAGGATTAAGAAAACAGGCCATGTTCTACAGCCAGAACTTTGCTCTGCTCATGAACCAAATACGAGGGTCATTTGGCAGGGGGCGGCAATATTCAAGTTTTTGATGAATGTAGTGGCAGTTCAGAGCAGCCTGATATCAACCACATCAGCATCCGTTTGTGACGCTTCTGTTAAGGATGTTGAGCACGTTTAAAGCTAACAATGCTGCTCGTCTGTCTTATATTGCAATGGCCAAATTCGCACCATCAGACAAGTAAAATCAGTCCAAGTTTTGAAAATGAAAGTTTAACCATCATACATTGTACATCTTCAGTGCACAGGATGGATCAACCTGAAACAGCTGCTCTAACCAAACACTTCATCTCACTGTCCCCTTCACTTGCCTCTTGCCCACGTCCCTGTGCCAAACATATTTTCCAGAGGAGAAACTGAAGAAAGCTGTAAAACACGGTTCTTTTTGCCAAAAAGTCTGTTGTATCAAATGAAACTACTGCCTTGCTTTCCCTTCCTGCAGGAAGTTTGTCTTCTGTTTAAATGAAAATGCCTTCTCTAAGGGGAGTCTAAACATACAAATATGTGACAGAAGTCTATGCACAGAAATGAGAGTATTATATCTACAGATGCCAAACACGGTGCCTTGTCAAAAGTTGGGAAATATTCCAATTACAGTTACCTGGGCAGCCTTAAATATCACTTTCTGTTAGGATGCAGTCACTCATTTCAGGCTCTCATACTGTCATTTTCATATGACTTCTACTTATGGCTTAGGAAGCGGCTGCCCTGGAATTTGGATCTGTGTTCTGTGATTTGCTTAGCTGCCTACTGCAAATACTTACTTTCCAGCTTGCAGTTCATTGCTCTTATGGGTTGTTTTTCCTCTGAAGTCCTGCTAGTCAAACAACATATACATACTACTTTATCCTGTGCCGGCAAATGCCAGTTTATCTCCATAGCTACATAAAAGAGGCAGGTTCACCAGCCTGCATTTGAGTGACATTGGGTAGCATCACAAAAAAGGACTGCGTTCAATTTACACAAGGATTCCTCCATGTCCAATTCATCATCTAGAAACCTGGGGAGTCAAATCACATCATCCATGTGCTCTTGCATTTGAGCTATTTTCCTATAAAAGACTGTTGGATACCTCTAGAGCAGAGCTCTCTGGTTTCCTTCCACCAAAATGGCTCTTCCTTTCTAGTGTTTCTACCAACATACTGGGATATTTCTTCTTCTGATTTCATCTTTAACCTTTCCTGAAGGTGGAAAGATAGTGATGATACCTCAGGATGGAAGTCATAGGCTCAGCATGAGCCCAGTATTGGCAAAACTCCACCAAAAAGGACATGAAGTTGTTGTGGTTGTTCCATCAACAAGTTTGCATCTGAAGCCAAAGGAGCCTCCGAATTACACAGTGAAAGTATATCCAATGCCTTATGCAGAGGACCATTTAGCTATGGTGTTCAAATCTTTCGCTGATGCCCATTTTATTGAACAATCTTTTGAACAATCTTACTGCACAATCCAAGCCCCGTCCAACCTGGCCTAAAGTCAGCTACAGCCAACTAATTGGCCACCACCTCCTTGGAGGTAACCTTGTGTTCTTCAGTTAACCCTTTCTTCAAATGATTACCAGAAGGAAATCTCTACCTTCAGTTCTTGCAAAGCACCGATATGCCCAACAGCCTTTGCCCTCCCGAAAACAAAGTGCCAATGAAGTTAGCCCTTAGAACATCAAGATGAGCTTTGCGTACCTTCAGGTGGCCTTTGTAACTGAGATTTGCGATAGAACAGCATGTAGGCACTCTCTTTCCCCTCAAATTGTTTCTCAATATCCTTTTCCTTGATGGGCTGAACTTTGGAATCATTCAGGTCAAACCAATGACAACCAGCAGAACTGTCCTTTAGCCTTGGAGGGATTTTCTTTGAGTCCCACTGGACATCATTCTTCTGAAGAGGGCCTTTGGTGATCTCCTCCTTGAAAATCTGACTTAACCGCGAGCTTGTGTTTTTCCTTCAGACCAACCTTGTTTTCATCAGGGCTGAACTGAAAAATCTGAAGATGATTCTGCAGATACTAAAACAAAAGCAAAAGCAAGATGAAAAAGAAACCCATTTTTCAATATAAGCAACCTGAATTATCTACTTCACCTGATTCATCCTCAAATTGACACACAAACTCCACCACTTCAAACTTGGGTTTATGATGCTTCCACATGCATTTCATACAAGCCCAGACTGGTTTGGGTTGGGAGGGACCTTAAAGCTCATCCAGTTCCAACCCCCTGCGGTGGGCAGGGACACCATCCACTAGAGCAGGTTGCTCCAAGCCCCTGTGTCCAACCTGGCCTTGAACACTGCCAGGGATGGGGCAGCCACAGCTTCTCTGGGCACCCTGTGCCAGCGCCTCACCACCCTCGCAGGGAAGAGCCTTATCTCCAACCTGAACTTCCCCTGTTTCACTTTGAACCCATCACCCCTTGTCCTATCACTCCGGTTCCTGATGAAGAGTCCCTCCCCAGCATCCTTGTATCTCCCTTCAGACACTGGAAGCTGCTCCGAGTTCTCCACACAGCTTCTCTTCTCCAGACTGAACAGCCCCAATGTTCTCAGCCTGGCTCCATACAGAAGCTGCTCCAGCCCCTGCTAATCCTCGTGGCCCTCCTCTGGAC